TCCGGTGTGAACGTAGCATTAGCCTATAGCAGCATATAGTTCTTCTGCTATATGGGGAACATCTGTCTGTTACTGTTTCCAGCTGTTGCATCATTTCATCATTAGTAGATATAGAGGTAACAAGCCAGTTTGCAGCTGGTGAGGAAAGTCAAGATATTTGTGTTCAAATGTAGCAAATAACAGTAAAAAAGCCCTCAGAAGAATAAATACTGGATAACTGGTGCTGTACAGTAAAAATGTTGGGTCACAAATTGCTTTTATGACCATAGTTGACCCATTGGGCTCTCGTTGTTGTCTCTGATGACGTCCCCCACTATGGTGTTGTCTGCGTTGCTAGGCTACATCAGAGACGACAATGACAAGAACTACAGAGAGGAGGTGGAGCAGCTGGTGCAAAGATAAAAGCCTGATCCTTAACATGGAGAAGATGAAGATCATCGTCGACTTCGGGAAGAAGCGGCCTAACCACGCTCCACTGCTCATCAACAGCTCAGCTGTAGAGGTGGTGCAGCAACCTCACCTAGACTGTAAACACCTCTTCACTGGTCAAAAGGGCACAAAAGCGCATGCACCTCCTGCAGAGGATGAGGAGAGCCCAACTGCCCCCACCCATCCTCCCCACCTTCTACAGAAGCACCATAAAGAGCGTTCTGACCAGCTGTTTCACTGTGTGGTGTGGAGGCTGCAGCGCCGCAGACTGGAAGAAGATGAGAAGAGTGATGAGAACAGCAGAGAGGATCATCGGGGCTGCTTTTCATCCCAGCACTGTGTGTCCCGAGAAGGTAATGTTAGGTTTATTGAAGACAGTTAGTGTGTGTACATATGAAACATTGAAGACAGTTAATGTGTTTACATATGAAACATTGAAGACCTGCCTTCAGCCAGAAGGTCATTTCAGGGTCATTCTGTCTTAAGACCCACCCCATCCTGTTGTGATCTGCTAATAAAAGGCTCTACTGTGAAGGGAGCAGAGAGAAAGGTGCTGAAATGTGAGCAGGCAGCCTTTCTCCTCCTGCAGGAAGCTGTGTTTGGAAATCCCTTGGTGTGTCAGATTCATTTTTTGTCCTATATGAACTCACAATTTTTTGAAGCTAACAGGTAACATCATCAACATTTTTTTTTGCACCATGTTTTTTTCTCCCACACTGTTTACATTTGATCACTGCTGCACTTTATGGAATGGAAATGTTCATTTAAGGTCTGAAAAGCTGTACTAAATGAAATAGACAATAAAAGTTGTCTAAGTCTCTGCCTAAGGAAGGGAAACAGACACTCAAAGCTCAGTAGGTTTGATCAGGAAACGTAGGCA